ATGCAGGTGACTGTGTTGGGATGGCCAATGAAGAGTAAGGAGCAGAGGAAGCAGAGGGTGAGGGAGATGAGCAGGATGTAGCTGAGAGTCCAATTATTGGCCTTGACTATGGGAGTGTCTCGGTGCTTCACAAAGACCCCCAGGATCACAGCTGTGAGGACAGAGAAGCACAGAGCTGTGCAGGCCAGGGCCATCCCCAAGGGGTCCTCATAAGCCAGAAAGGTGACAGCTTTTTGGAGGCAGTCATCTCTCTCTCTGTCGGCATATTGATGATCTGGGTGTTTCAGACACTGATCCATGTCTAGGGACAAATGCAAATTGTCATTAGCCCAAGTTCAGTCATTCTCTCTCATTCACAGGCTCCCAAAGAAGGGCACTGTTTCTCTAAATTCAAAATAAAAGAATGCTCTGCAGGGAATGATTCCCAATTAATACTGCTCATCTTTTTTATGGTTAAGTAAACAAAGCTATTAGTCTTCTCAGTACTTTTCTTGCATATTCATGAGAGCACTATTTTCTCAGAAGAAAGCAAGATGTCCCTATCTCACTGAATTTTACCCCTATCAGCTATGGCCTGCGTTATTCATTCAACAAGCCAGCACATTTTGGAAAACCAAAATGAGCCAGATAATTCGCTAAGATTCAGAGGAAATAGAGATGACCAAGTCATAGACCTTACTCCTAGGGAGTTTCAAAATGGCACCCTATCTGCTATCTAAAATCATCTATCTAATCAGACTTGAATTGTCATGAACCCAAGTGCTGCAGAAATGACAGTGTCTCACATCTGAGGCTATATCATAAAACACACTGAAGTTTCCTCCTTGGTCTCTTAGATTGTTCCCTCCTAGGGGAAGCCATCTGCCATGCCAAGAAGATACTCAAGTACCCGTGGAGGGGTCCACGTGGAGTCGAACCAACTTGTCAGCACCAATGCCATCCTTCAGTGAGCCACCTGGGAAGATCTTCCAGCCCCAGCCGAATTTTGAACTCTAACGAATGTCTGCTAAAATATTTGGGGTGAAGTCTACTGTGGTCTGCAACCTACTTCAAATTGCATTAAAAAAATGGATTGATGGGTGATAGAGGGATGGAGGTGGCAAAGGAAGTACAGTAAAATGTTAGTGATGGAATCTGGGTGGTGGACTGTGTTAGTTCATTAGGGCTGCCAGAGGAAAGTACCACAAAACGGGGTGGCTTAAACAGCAGAAATTTACTTTCTCACAATTCTGGAGGCTGGAAGTCCAAGATCAAGGTGCTGGCAGGATTGGTTTCTCCTGAGTCCTCTCTCCTTGGCTTCCAGATGACCATCTTCTTGCTTCCTCTTCACGTGGTCATCCCTCTGTGCATGGGTGTCCCTGGTGTTTCTTGGTCTGTGTGTCCTAATCTCCTTTAAAGGACATTGATCACATTGGACCAGGGGCCACCCTAATGACCTCATTGTGTCTCAATTACGTCTTTAAAGTCCCAACCTCCAACTACAGTCACATTATGAGGTATCAGGGATTTGGGCTTCAACACATGAGTAGCAGTGGGGACAGAATTCAGTCCATAACATGAGTGTTCACTGCAAAACTCTTTCAAATTACATCCACGCTTGAAATGTTTTCATAATAAAGTGCATGCAGGTGATGTGCTAAGTCAGTAAAGGAAAAATGGGACAAAAATCATGTTGGAACCACCAGTTGGTCTGTGAAATAGGGATTATAATAGATCTAAATGTAAAAATTAAAGTTGTAAAAGTCCTAGAAGAAACGGATAAATAATTTATATATAATCTCAGAGGAGATTTGGTCTTTTAAAAATATAACATAAAACACGAAGAAATAAAATCAATACTTTTGATTTCATTTTAAAAATCTGCATGGCAGCAATGACAAGAGAAAAAAAAAAAAAGAGGAAAATATTGGCAACCCTTCACAAAAAGACTAATTGATTAATGTTAAAGAACTCCTACCAACGAAAGAAAAAGACCAAGTATCCATTGGAGAAATGGCCACATGCTAAGTATAGTTCACAAAAAATACAGAATGCTCTCGATACAAGACATGATTCCTTACTTCGCCCATCAAAAGAAAAATACGAAGTAAAACATCGCGACTTTCTTTTTTTACTCATCAGATTAAGAACATTTTTTTGTTTTTTTTAATAACCAACTTATTAGCATGTGGAGAAAGTGGCACTCGGGCACCACAATGACGGGGAGGTGAATCTGAAAAATCTCCGCTCGCGGACACAAGGACCTAGTCACACAGGGAGAGACCATCAGAGCCACGGGGTGTTGCGGTGAGAGGCAGAAAGAGCCCAACTGGGGCAGCGAAATCGGAGAACTCCCACGCCAGGTGGAGAGAGCTGAAACGAACGAACTGAGCGGAGGAGCGGCGGGGAGAGGCGGAGAGAACCGAGACCAGGCGGAAAGAGCCGAGGCTCGGCGGAAAGATCCGAAGATAGGCGGATGGAGCCGAGGACAGCAGAAAGGACCGAGGCCTGGCGGGGGGAGCCGAGCCCAGCCGAAAAGCAGCGAGAGGTGGCGGAGAGAGCCGAGCCCAGGGGCCGCTGGGAAGAGCTGAGAGAGCGTGCGCGGCGGAGAGAAGAGAGGCCGTTGGCGCCGCAGAAGGAAGCGCAGGCGAGGACGGCGGAGAATGAAGGCGACCGCGGTGGATGGGGCCCTGGATGTCGAGTCCGGAGTCTTTCATGGGCCCGAGCCGCCCCGAGCGCCCCCACGGAGGGTCGTGGACCCGGTCCCCGCTGCCCTCCTCCCCGCTCCTCCGGCCCCGCCGCTGCCCACGGCGCGGGGCGCTCTGGCCGGACAGCGGCGTGTCCTCCGCCCACGACGAGGACGCGCGTGTCCCCGCGGCTGCATCCTCCGGACGTGATGGCCGCGGGGAGTCTGGCGCCGATGTCCGTGGCGGGGACTGACCCCGGGGTGCAGCCTCTGACCCGCGCTGAGCCCGCGGACCCAGCCCGTGGGGAAGCCGCTGGGGGCAGTGACCACGCCGGCTGACCGGAGGTCTGGGAAGAGGCCCCCATCCTAGACCGAGGCTGGAATGCGACCTGTGGGCCCTTCCTGACCGTCTCCCCACTTCCAACACCAGCGCCAGGCTCTCATTCAGCTTATCATATGGATGTGCTGAAGATCATGGACCGTGCCCGATGCCATCATTTGAATTTCTCAGGTCCGCAATTTTCAGCCCTGAACACCTTCATTTTTCAGTGTAACTCACTGAAATCATAGTCTACATCTAGGAATCGGTCAGGAATAATTTTAAATGTATGGGAGAGAAAACCCAACTAAATTTAAGTTAAAATTATTTAACAATATAAGAAGAGGGAAGAAAAGGTCCAATGAGGGAAGAGATCAGCTCATGGTAATGAAACTTGAGGAGTAGATTGTGACCAGGCGCAGAGATGCAGCATACAAATAAGGGGGCAGGTGTTGTCCTGACCGGCCCCCATGCCAACCCTTACTCTGCTCTCCTCCCAGGTGGCCTCAACCCCTGTCAGCGGCTCCTACACTGAGACCTCACTCAGCTCAGCTCCCCAGAACTCCAGGTCTGGCAGGTAAGAACCCCGTGTATACCCGGCTCCTCCTCCTGTTCCATAAAAGATCCTGTGCCTGGATCCTGTTGGACCAGAGAGGGCCATTTGACACCCCCTGTCTCAAGACATGGGGAGGGGTTGGAATGTGCAGATTAGCTCACACTGAGGAATTAGAACACCCTAGTCCTAGGGAGCAGTCAGCCCCACACCAAAGCCGTGGGCTCTGGGAGGGAGCCATCACTGTGTTAAATCCAGAGGCCATTGTCAGGAGGCACAAGGGACAGCTGTCCACCTCCACTCACTCTCTCCCCTTCTGTTTCTCAGTCACTCTTTGACCCTCTGAAATAGGCTTCTTTCCCCATGACTGCTAAGACTGCTCTATCAAAGGTCTTCAAGAAAGTCCAGAAAATTCCAGATCCTTCCAAAACTACATCAGTCCTTTCCACTCCTGACCCAGTAAAAGAGTCCTACCATCTGACTTCTGTAACTTAACACTTTTTTTCCACCAAATATTGTTTATCACGTGTTTATTGAATAATTACGATGTGCCCTACACTGTGAGCAGGTGGACAAGTTTGATTGACTCAGGACTTAGTGCGAAGGCAATGAGCCTGCTGCCAAGGGTCTCTCAGTGCAAAATGCTCCCAAACAACATTTTCCTTGTTAAGAATCTAAGGTGAACTCTATTTAAAAAAATCACCTAGGTAATTTCAGGTAACAGATAAAGCTGTAACAGGTAGTCTAAGGGCCAATTATATTATATCAAAATGTCTTATATTTGAGTTAGCATTTGGCGAAGAAAAGGATACAACGTCTATGTTAGAACGAGATATAAAAGCAACATTAATAAGGTAAGACTTTTATGGAATCAAATTAATTTAACGTTAAAAAATAAGCTCTTTACAATAGGTATCATCTTTTCCTGAGTGCAAGTATTATAAAAAAATATAACTAAAAACACTAAATGATCTCTTATGCCAAATTACCTTTAATATAAAAGTGAATAAAAATCATGGTAAGCAGAAATTGTGTTGTACCAGGACAAGTAAAGATCTTCTTTCTTGTCATGTGAAACCTGATCTCTCACCCACACAACCATCTATTCTTCACATTTTTGTCTCTCAAGAGTTTAATAACTTACAATTGTAATATGACAAAGCATCACAGTCCAGAGCAAGAAGCGGGGTTGACATTAAATGAGGCGACTGAAACTGAGGGCTGTTCATGGGGAACCACTTCCTCAGGTTTATACTTCTTGGCTTCTTCAGCAGGACCTTCTCCTATTTTCCGTCAGGTCTCAGAACACCGTTCTTGGCTCCTTGCTCTCTCTGCCTCCCTGGCAAGCCTGTCTGTCCTCAGGGCCTCAGTCAGTCTCTCCCTTGCTTTTTTCACTTTCTGACTCTGTCTGCAGATGTCTCCATAAGTTACGGGCTGTTGATAGAGTGGCTGTGGGAGACAGAGACTCACTCCTGGGATCGTCTCTGCCCAGTCTGAAGACTGTGCAGTGGTGGACTAGGGTCTGGTGTGTAGAGACCCAGCACCAACACAGCCCAGGGATTCACCTGGACTAGGAGGTGCAATTATTTTTAAGGTATTTGTGATATAAAAGTACTTAAAAGTTCTCCTTCACTGCTGCAGGCCTGGAGACCCTGCAGTCTTCTGTGTGCACAGAGTTGCTGGGGCTTCTGCAAGGTCTCCTCCCGTTGACTGTACCTGACCTCATTGCCAGGGTGGGAAGGTATCCTTGTAACTGGCCTCTTGAAAATGCAGCTGGTGAGTCTTGTAGGAAGTGCAGACCTTTCATGACGTCTCTGCTTGGTCTTGGCCAAATGCACTTGTCTTTTCTTCTCTGAAGTCTGGGGCATCATATTTCTTTTGAGCTTCCCCTTTGAAAACAAAATGAAATGTGCAATTCGAATAAAATGGGGGATGCAGACTGCCAGCCGTGGAGAATGTTCTCACCTCATTTGGATCTTCCACCCTCCCCTCTCCCTGGGGAAATGTGTCTCAGATTGCCCTGTGCATCACAGTCGTCTGGAATGTTGTTAACACTTAGATTTCTGGACCTCAACCCAAGTAGGCCTGAGATAGGGCCGAGAATTTGCGCTTCTGAGTGTCCCCAGATGATGCTGACGCTGCTGGCACAGGCACCACACACTGAGAACTAGATCCTGGGACATCAAGCTGATATGAGTCAAGGACAGAAAAGACTATGAAAACTAGATGATTGTGTGCCTAAAACATAGTAATTTATTGCTTCACCTCTAATTAAATCATGTACCTCTCAACCCTTAGATACTCACTTCACTAGCGCACCCACATCCCATCTTCTCTCAAATACTCTCCTGTTCGTAAATAAATAACTCACACACGCCATATTCCCATCACACAGTTGCACCCACTGTAAATAACCATTTTTCCTCTCCTGACTCTTCCTCTCTCCTCCTACTGCTCCCTGTTACTCTGGGCTCCACCATCTGACTTAACGCAATTGATGCTTCTTAGAAGTCAGTCCTGCTCTCACATTTGTTCCACATCCGCACCCTCTTCTAGGCCATCCCATCCATTTCCCTGGCTTCAAATACCATTAGTGAACTAGAAATGCCCATAGAATCGGCACAGATCTGGCTTCAACCCTGAGACCCAAATACCCATCTGCCCACTAACCGCATTAGTGATAACTCGATGACCAGCTCACAGTGAGCAGGTCCCAAGTTGAACCAACCAGTTCTCCAAGTAATTCACCCCTATTTCAGGGTCCCCTAAACTCGCTTGTTGGTACTGATATCCTGTCTACACCTGAGTGTCATTCTGGACACCCTACCACCCCACACTCATACATCAATGAACCATCCATCCACCCTCCTGAATCCACCTAAAGATTCTCAACTTTGAATAATTCTTGAGCACCTTTCAGATTCCTAAAAAATACTATTTCCACGGAGGGACCTTTCCTGATCCAGCCATCAAAATTAATATCACATTTTCTCTGTGTTAATTTTTGATTGTATGTATATTACTATTTCTTTCATAGTGTTTTGCTCACTAAATTGCATACTCCATGAAGAGAAGATTAATGTAGACTGTAATGTTTTACACTGCCATATTCGCTTATTGCTTTACTCTTGAGGTGCTCAGATGTATTTATTGAAAGAAACTATTCAAACTTCCAAAAAAAAACTAAACTTTTCAAACAAATTCACTCAACTACAATTATACAATAATATAATCTCTTTTCTGGTATACTGCAATAAATTATCAGTAAGATTTCAAATCCTTTCTCTCTGTATTGCATTATAAGACTCCTCACAATAACCTGTTTAAAATGTGAATCTAATCAGTGCACCTTTCCTTTTAAATCTCTCATTTCTGTCTTTAGAAGATATTTAAAAGTGAAACCATAAACCTCACTTCATTCTTGTCCTGCCATAATTATTAATACCACCCCTTTCATTCCCCAGCATGTCCCAGTTTGGAAGGAAAATTATTTGATCCTCCCACTTATAGATCACCTGTTATATATGCCAAGTTAAATACTAAAACCCATGATCCATAATTTAACAAAGTTACTACTGTTTATTTTAATCTTGGTGAGAGGAATGAGTTAATAAACAGACTGAGGAATCTCTATTATAGTGTTAGGTGTAATTGTGCTGTGATGAACAGTAAGGCCGAGACAGAGAAAGAGGGAGGGATGGAGGAAAAGTGGTAAGGAGAGATAAAGGGGGAAAGAAATTAACTATGTAATTATTGATGAAGAGATTAGAGAAGGACTAACTGATGAGGTGATATTTGAGCCCAGAACTGAATTTTTCTTAAAAAAGACCAAGCACATTGTGGGTAAAGAATTTTCCAGAGAGGGGAACAATTTAAACAGCAAGGCTGAATACTACTTCACTTCCTAGTGGTGTTGTTGGTTAAAAACAGAATAAAATAAAAGAAACAAAGGAACAAAACCATTTGGCCTATTGTCCCAGAAAGCTTCATATATAAAAAAGTGCAATTCCTTGAACGTTACTTAACAAACATTAACAGCTAGGAAACAACTTTCAATAAGATATCTTCTAAGCTACTCTCTGGGAACTTGAAGAGATTTCACAGGAGGACAAAGTGTACAAACAGACACTTGTGGTCCATATGGATTCCACACTCACCAGAACAGGCTGGCTTGGAAAACAGGCCGATGCAGGTTCCTCCATGGCTGCAGAGTTGTCCTGCTGACCCACTCCTGATGTGCAGACAGCCCGTGGATTGCTAGAAAATGCAGTGACTTCTGCCTCTGATTCCTCTTTTATGGAGGAAGGGAGTGGATAATTCAATCAGTGGATAATCCAGAGGAGACATCCTGTCTCTTATCAATGGGTTTTGAGAGATTCCTAAAGCTTTATACATAAAAAAAAAATGTTGGGTTATTGACACTGTCAGATGCTGTTGGTATGAAAACATTTAATACAATTGTGTGGGGAGGTGGTATTTGCAGTTTCTATCAACATTTTAATATTTCCTTTTTCTTCCACTATGGATACCTTCTGTAAAAGTAGGAATGGAAGTTTATATGTACAAAAATGTCCATACAACTTATGTTTTAATAGGAATAAATAGAGACCTTGTAAATGTTTATCAATAAAAGAATGCCCCAAATATTTATTAACAAGACTCTAGAATGTCACACAGCCGTTAAAAAGAAATTAATATTTCATGCATTTACATTTCACCTAATTACCAGTAAACTTGTGATTATTTCAACCATCTTACTCTTTCCCTTCCCTTGACCTAAATAATTAATGTTCCTTTACTATCTTTACTTTACTGACTTTGATTTAACTCTTATTATTCCATTATTTCTTCTATAAATTTATTAGTTGCATTAATACAGAAATCTTTGTTTAATTGTACTAATGGTTAAATCCTGAATCCTTTACTTAATATAGTCTAATATGAATAATTACTTTTACCACCTCCCCCACATGCTAATACCTTAAACACTTTCAATTCTATTTTTAGCCTTCCTGACTTTTGTATTACTGTTTTCCTGCATTTTAAGTCTACATATATTTTAATCTCCATGAGAGATTTCTAGAATTACTTCATAAAACAAAATCATTTGTTTTTATTTATAAATTTTCCTTTCCTTTCCTCTTCAGTCCTTCCTGCATTCCTGGTTTTAAATCTGGAATTATTTTCCTTTGGACTTAATAACTCACTCTAGTATTTTGTCTAATTCAAGGCTGCTAACAATGAAAAGTTTCACTTTAAGTTTTTCTAGGATATCTTTATTTGTGGCACTGTTGCTGCTGGCTGTAGAATTCTGGTTTGACATGAGATTTCTTTTAGCATTTTAGAAATCTTGCTCTGTTGGTGTCTATCTTATTTTATTTATGGTTAGAAATCACCAATAGGCCTTTTTCTTGCTTATTTGGCCTCTATAGTCTTTAAAATTCTTTACATTATCTTTGGTTTTTAGGCCATAGTGTAGCTCATTAGTATTTCCTGTGTAGTCTCTCTGCTTAGGGAATGTTGAATTAATTGAATCTGTGGGTTGATGTCTTTCATCAACTTGAAACATGCTTGTGTATTTTCACTTCTGATATCAGTTCCTCCCCACATTCTTTCTGCTCCTCTTTTAATCATACCCCATGTGTCTTGTAATTAATTCTACCCTGAATTTCCCAATGTTGTTCACACTGTGGTTTTGCTGGAAGATTTGCTCTTAAACTGTCTTCCATTTTAGTAAACCAGCCTTTTGCTGGAATCAGTTGCTTCTTAATTACTTAAATTCTTAATTTTAGTTCTAATATAAACACAATATATAGCTTTAATTTTTTAAAAAAGAGAGCAGTTTCACAAGGAGAAAATGATTTCCTTTTGATACAATAAAGCTCAAATAGAAAGGAGAAAATTATAAGTTGGATTATACTAAGATATATGAGGAGCCAGTATTCATTAAAATTCACTGATAAGTCAGGGGGCTGGAAAACGTGAGTCATTTCTTCTCTGTACTGATGTGGACTATATTTTGAAATGATAATATTTACATTTCTTAGGTTAAATAAAATGTTACAAAATCCAGTTTCATCTGTTTGTATTTACTTTCTTTAATGTGTGTTCTAGAAAATTTTAAATGACATAGGTCACATTGTTATATCTCTATTGGTCTTGGCTGGATAAAGCCATGATGTGATGGTTAATTTCAGGTGCCAACTTGACAGGGCTAAGGGAGGCCCAGATAGCTAGTTAAGCAGTATTTCTGGATGTGTCCGTAAGGGTTTTGTGGAAGACATTAGCATTTAGTTCCGTAGACTATAGAGTATGTAAAGAGACCTACCCTCACCAGTGTGAGTGGGCATCATCTAATCTGTTGAGAGCTCAATAGAACAAAAAGGCAAAGAAAGAGTTAGTCCACTCTCTCTTCCTGACCTGGGATGCCCATCTTTTCCTGCCCTTGGACATTAGAGGTCCTGGTTCTCAGGCCTTTGGACTTCAACTGTATTTTACCACCAACTTTTCTGGCTCTCCAGCTTGCAGATGGCAGACTGTGGGACTTCTCAGCCTCCTTGTGAACCTAACCTAACCTTGTGAACCAATCCCTATAATAAATCTCCACTTCTATATGTTCGTATATATTCTATTGTTTTTGTTTCTCTAGAGAACCATCACTAATACACATGGATAACAAAGTCCATAGTAGGTGCCCAGGGAGGTACCTACCCCCAGGAGGAAGCAACTCATCCCATCCAGGCAGCACACATGAGCACACACACACACAAACACAACTAAACTTGAAAATGTACTCTGGCTCAAACTCTCTGCCTTATTGTTCATCACGGCAGTTGTTTCTACATGGCGTGTTATAAATCCTTTGTGGTTTATTATCTCTTTCCTCCCACTAAGACTGAGTCAAACAGGGGCAGTGAGTCTGTTTAATTTTTTTGTAGATCACAGGTTTTACACCAGAGCTTTGCATGTAGTAGGTGCTCTATAAATAGAATGACCAGGTAGTTTTCTCTCCAAACTGGAACACATTGGGGAATGAAAAGGGTAGTATTAATAATTATAATAGGACAACAGGAAAAATACCTGCTAAAGACAGAAATGGAGGATTTGAAAGTTAACGTGAACTGATGAGTTTTGCATTTTAAACAGATCATTGTAACTAAAATCTCTTAGGCTTGTTACAGGGAGAGAGGATTTGGAAATCTTAAGCTGTAATTGCTAGTTTATTGCAGTATACCAGCAAAAGATGTTATCTTTTGCATAAATGTAGTTAAGTGGATGGGTTTAAAATATGTGAGGAAGTGAAGTTTTAGTGTTTGAATTAGGTAGGTAGGTAGATAGATAGGTAGATAGATATACTATCTGAGCTCTTTTTGTGTGCAAAGCCATATGAGAACACTGTTGAGGGAAACATCTAGAAAATCTACATTAGTCATGTCTATATGGAGTATCCCGTTTAGTGAGAACTAAATGTTGAAAGAAAGAGATAATGCACATATAAGTAAAATAGAAACAAAATGTCAACAAAGAGGAAAAATGGAGTTTTGTAAATTGGGTTGCTAGAGCAGGAGAGTTTGCTGTGTGGAAATGCTATTTTGTGTCGGATCTGAAAGGTGATTAGAAATAATTCAAAAGTGGAGAATCTGTGGGAGGATTCAGGAGGGTGGATGGATGGTTCATTGATATGAGTGTGGGGTGGCACAGTGTCCAGAATGATACTCAGGATATTAACACAAACAAGTGAGTTTGGGGACACTGAGAGAGAAGTGAATTATTTGGGAAAGTGGTTTTTTCAATTTGGGACCTGGACACTGTGAGTTGAGTCATCACTGATGGGGTGAGTGGGCAGGTAAATATTTGGGTCTGGGGGTCAGAGTCAGATCTGTGCTGATTCTTTGAATATTTTCAATTCATTAGTGGTATTTGAAGCCAGGGAAATGGATAGGATTGCATAGTAGAAGGGTGCAGGTGGACAACAGATGTCAGAGCAGGGCTGACTTCTGGGAAGCATCAGTCATTGTGGGTTGGTCATAAAGAGAAGCCAGAAAGTGGCTCAGGAAGTTTGGAGAAGGAGCAGGACAGTGTAGGCTGGGGGATCCCAAGGACAAACGAGCTTTCTAAAGGAACTTGAAGTTGAAAAAGTCACGTGCTACTGCAGGGCATGTCAGACAAATAATGAAAAGTCCACATCGGATTAGTAAGAGACATGACTTGTAAACTTAGCAATAGGAGCATCCACAGAATGGGGAGATGGTATCGGGTGGGCAGTGTGGAAACAGAGGCATTGGGATGTAAGTGAACTTTTCACAATGAGTCCCTGGCAGGAGGAGGAGAGGGAGGGCATGGAGGGCGAGGAGTATTAGGAATACTGGATGAGAGATTTGTTTGTAGATGGTAGAGATTTGTGCATATTTGAAACATGAGGCATGATCCCAGTAGGGAGGTGATTGAAAGTACTGTGACTATTGAAAGCATAAGGTCATTGAAATGGAGAGATGAGATGAAAATCAGAATGGTTTTAGCTAAGAAAGAAATATATTTGGATAAAACAACAGAAACGGTGTGATAAATGAATTCCTTATGAGGAAAATTTCTAGATCTGATGACTAGAGAGTGAAATAGTTCTCATCTGGCGGTTAACAGTTTATCTGTGAAATATGAATTCACAGGAGAAAATAGTTTTATGGAACTCAAGAAATGGAAAGAAATTAACAGAGCATTCAGGAAGCATTAGAGAATGCCTGTAGGCCCATTGGTTGCTGTCGATTCTCTGTTGGTACCCCCAGGCTCCTCGTGTGCTCTTTCTTCATTGGTGGTCCTCAGTGCAGGTGTCAACGTGGCATGGCAGGTATTTGGAATCATCCAAAGTCCGAGGATTGCAGGGCAGATATGATGAGAGTAAAGAATTAGGGAGCGTGGTCAGAGGATAATTGAAATGATGGACCACAGAATCCGATATTAATAGGGAGGAGTAGGAAGAGAGAAGGAAGAGAGCCTTGTTAAGATAGTCTAACTGGAGTAATCTATTTTCTTAAAGAATGGTTATTTAAAGTAGAGTTCTTTCTGTAAAAACTAGAAATGTGGAAATGTGTGGTGGGAATGTGGTGTTTCTGAGTTACTTATTTGTGAGCAGAATTTTGGGGGAAGATAGGCTCTGGGTGTGAAAGTGAGTGGAATAGTGCATGATTTCATTAAAGATGGGATA